GGAGGAGGAGAAGCTGGTGGAAAGTTGATGGATTGCCAGTGGGTAGCATGAGAGTAGGAAAGTTTTGGCCTTCAAATTATTCTCTACATTATACAATTCCACTTTAACTGCCATGGAATCCTAGGATTTGTAGTTTAGGGAGGTTTGCGTAGAATTCTCAACTAGAGAGCTTCTCTAGTGCTTTTGATTAAACTATACATCTCAGGATTCCACATGATGGAACCAGGAAAATTAGATTGCCAGTAAAGTTCATTGCAGTTGACCCTGCACATTCATGGGTTTAACTACTGATTATTCATGTATTGATTAATATATTATCTCTAGGAATCTCCTAAGTCTTTTCTCACTATAAAATTACATAGTTAGTTATCCATATTTTTGAAGGATTAACTTCTGTGGATTTGGTTATTAATATGTCCTCTCCAGAAATGTCTAGGTTCCCCCAGTGTGATTCATCCATCAGAAGATGACCATTGAATTCTGCTGCAGGACCTAGTAATGCCTAGAGATTCTCTGAGTCAAAAGAAAATTACTGCTAGCCTCTTTTAAATTGTGTGTTGTTCCTCATTCATGACCTTTGCTATCTGGATCACACTCTGAAGTTCCTTGGCCACATGTGTCCTCGTTTTAATTGGTGAAATGTTGGAGGGTATGCAGTTTCTATGGCCTAAACATCCTAATGGCACTGGATCCTGCCTGAATTTGGAAGGTAAGCAGCATTGGCTCTGGTTAATATTTGAATGGGAGACCACTAATGAATACCAGGTGTTGGAGGCTATATTTCAGTGGAAAGAACTTGCAAACCACCTCTGAGTATTCTTTGCCTAATAAAATCCTGTGAAATTTGTGTCGTCTGCATAAGTTGACACATAATTTGAAGGCAGGTTCACACACACGGTATCTGTAAATGAAATGCTCTGTAGGCCTGCAGATATAACCCAAAGCCTAAGGAGGCTGACTTGGTTCCAAAGCGAGGTGTGTGCTCCCACCCAGGTGTTATCTGAAGCAAGTTATTTTTAACCAGGACATCTAAATGCTCTCCATGGGTAGTGGCATGCAAACAACAATTTGAGAAATGCTGGGCTGTTCCAGATTGGGTAGAGTGAAGATAATAGATTTACTGAAGATAAATCACGCCTGAATTTTCCTTGATGATCCTGAATGGGTGATGGATGAGGACGAAGTATTGAAAGGGAAGGAAGCAATGGCTAGGTGAGCTGAGAGAATACTGTAAAGAGATCATTTTAACTCACATTGTCTTCTTATGCCAAAGGCAAGAAATGAGTCCTCTGATGCTCAAGAGAGCTACCATTCCCTCTACCTACAATCACTCCTCCATCCTTCTTCCGTTCATATGGCATATGCATTTTGGCCGTTACATCACTTCTACAAATTGAATTTTATATAACTTGCTGTTTGCTCTAGTGGTTTGAGCACTGGACTATGACTGGGGAGGCAGGAATTTGAATCGCCACTCAGTTGTGGAAACCCATTGAGTGATACTGGGCAAGTCACACTCACTAGGCCTCAGAGGACAATGAAGGAAAGCTCCCATGATAGGTAGGCCTTAAGGTTGCCATAAGTTGGAAACCATTTACATCCACATAGCAATGCAACAAAACACTATACTTCTAACAAAACCTTGTTGGTTTGCCAAAATTTATTACGTGTCTCCTTTCTATTGCACATTTCAAATGAGCTCTGGAGGTTTCGGAAAGTATTGAGAGCAGAGTTTGAACTTCACACAGGTCTGCAGTGGTAGAAGAAGAAAAGTCACAATTCAGATATGTAATTATACCACTAGTTATGCATATTTTTAAAAAGTTCTCACTCGTACCTATTTACTGTGTCATTATGTCACTTAAGCATTGTAATACATTCAAAATAATCACAACAAAGGAAGGCTCTTGAGGTATACTGGTGATTTTAGCAGATGGAGAAGACATTCTCGGCCTTTTCACACTATGCTATGATTCCAATTAACTGCCATGGCTTCATCCTGGGATTTGAAGTTTAGGGAGGGATACCTAGAATTCTCAACCAGAGGTTTTATTTGGTGCCTCTGACCAAGCTATAAATCCCAGGATCCATAGGATGAAGCTATGCCCATTAAAATGGAAGCATGGAGCTACAATTGAGTCATGAAAGGATCCTTTGTATTTGGGATCTCTGGATGTCAGGGTCCCAAATTTTTTTAGATAAAGATACTCAACCTGTTGTGCTTTCTTTACCTTGTTGGTTCTTTTCCTTTTTGTGAATGGCATAGACAGAATCAAATTTTGTTGTAACTTTTTTGAGGCTGGGGAACAATAGCTTTAACAGGGCAGACATAGGCCTATATGGTACATGCACATCCATTACTGTTGATTTTGTCTGCTGATGCTTGTGCAAGTATTAAAAGGAAAGCAGTGAACCAAAGCAGCCAAGACTGTGTTTCTTCTCCTTTTATCCCCTGAATGTTTTGGGTGAATTCATCCTCAAATATTTTTCATATTCCCATAGAAGGTGATGATTGTCAGAGAGGAACTGGGAAGAGTACTTTCATCCCTTCCTCCCTCAAGAGCCCAGAGGAGACAAGATTGGGATGCTTGGCAGACAAGTCAGAGAATTTTTAGAAAAGTAGTCACAACATGTCATGAATCACATATCCAAATGCTGGAACACGAGTAGAGGGAGACACAGCCCAGGGAAGTAAATTGGGAATCAGAGGCTGATTTTACACTGCATTATATAAGCAAAATACATTATATGGCAGCTCTTAGAGTCAGGAAGATCTTCCTAATGTTCAGGTAAAATCTCCTTTCCTGGAATTTGAACTCATTGCTCTGAGTCCTAGTCTCCAGGTCAGCATAAAACAAGCCTGCTTCCTCTTCCTTATGACAGACTTTCAAATATTTAAACATTATTATTTGATACACAACAAAATTGGTACACAGCAAACAAGATCACTATGCTGGCTTTTGCATTTGATCACACGTCAGATACTTCCAAAGTATCTAGGACTGTGTGATGTATCAGTTAATAATGCGTGCAGATCCAAGTAGGATGATCTTTTGCAACTGACAGATGGTAGTTTTGTCAGCGCTGATTGTTTTTTAAGTACTGGCCAAGGTCTTTAGGCACTGCACCCAATGTGCCGATCACCACTGGGACCACCTTTAATAACAACAACAACAACACTTTATTTATATTCCCATCCCTCTCCAAACACCCACCCTTTCTCCTGGTCATGCAGCACTTTTAATTTTAATTATTACATTTGGCCCTGCCATAGTTTTTAATTGCATCATTGTGTGTTGTTAATGTTATTGCTTTGTTTTTTATTTATTTTCTGTATTATTGTTGTTGTTGTTTTATTGTTGTATTTGGGCTCGGCCTCTTGTAAGCCGCACCGAGTCCTTCGGGACATGGTAGCGGGGTACAAATAAAGGTTTATTATTATTATTATTCCGCCCTTCTCACAGTACATATACTTGGCAGACATTCAATGCCGTTTCTATAGACAATACACAGACAGACAGACAACAGAAGGAAGTGGTTTGTTTCGATTCAGTGTCCATGGAAGGTTGGGCTTGAGTCCAGGGGGTGCTGTTGCTCTATCCTCTATGACGAAGAGCCGTCAGGACTTTCTCCTTCCTTTTGGTCACCCAGCATTTTCTGATCTTCTCTCTTTATAGCATCGTAAAACATCTCCCCTGCTTTTTTTTAGCAGTACCTAATTTCTCTAATTACAGCTAAAGCTGTTTTCGAATTGCTTAGGTAAACTGCCTTGTGCCAGAATCTTTGGAGTTCTATCATTAAATCCTCATATTGTGTAAGCTTTTCCAGTTGCTTCTTGTCAATTCTGCCTGGTGTTGCAACATTAATAATCCACACAGTTTTTAAATTATTATATTTATTTATACCTCACTTTATCTCCCCCAAAGTGTGCAGAAGCCTTCTCTTCTGCACACTAAACATACTCTTTAAGCTGCTCCTCATAGGGCATGGTCTTAGGAAAAAGCATGATTCCAATCAATTGAAGGCTTTCATTACATCTGGTGATAATAACAACTGGTGCTTTAGTAGTATTTGATTATATTATAAAAATGGCACCCACACAACCTGACACTTGCTTGCCTGGCACAAAAGCAAACTGATCTTTGCCCCTATTCATCCCAGAGGATCATATTGCTTTGAATCCCATGAATGGAGCATGCACCTCCCTTCTAAGGAGGGTCCAGAGATTTATCATTTTTATTGCACTGGTGACCTCTTCTAGAGCAATGCTTTTAAAACTGCATGTCCCAACCCCAAACGGGGCTCCACCATCTCAGTGTTGGAGTCCCAAAAAGATTGGCTACAGTAATATGAATTTCAGCTCATGGCTGTTTTAGGCACTTGCACAGATCTGTTGTATAGTGTTTACAATGGACTCTACAAAGGTGCTTCAGCTGTACTTCGTAAGTTTCACCAGTAATTCGGGTTTTAGAGCAATTCCCTATATTCAGTTCTGAGGGATTTTGTTGATAAAAAACACATGTGGTGTTCAAGGTCCTCCCATTAACTCAGATATACACATATAGCTTTTCATAGAACTCCCTAAAGGTATAGAGTATTGGTTAGTTACGAATCAACCATAGTGCTCCTATTGTGATTTTATCTGTATTTTTCACCATCAGTTCAGAATAAATGATAAAGTTCAGCCATTTGCATCTCCGCCTCCCCCATGTGCTACTTCCAATTTAGTAAAGGAAACACAGTATGGTAACTAGAACATTCCTATTTTTTTCCACTTGTACACATATTGAGGGGGAAGCCAGAGAATGATTTATCTGGGACTATGAATTGAATATTGCTAAACAAATGAATGTAGTCCTTCTCCAACAGATGCTTATCCCTCCAAATATTCAAAAGAGATCATCCCAGACAGATCAAATTGTTACCTTGTGTGGAACGTGTTGCCATTCTGTCTCATCTACCATCTGTTAATATATTTGAGTCACCACCCAACAATAGTATGGCATTTAAACTGTATTTGCAATTTTAATGTTTCTTTTGTTCGGGTTTTTTGCCAACGCTGCTCTGAAATGCTCGTCTGGATGAAGGCATGATCTGCAGCAACTAAAAATGGAGTGAAGAAGTACAGAAGTCCTCAGCCAATGTATGTTTATGCCCATTTGGATCTGTCCAGAGCTCTGTCCAGTGATGACACCATTGCTGCAACCAGGACAACCAAAGGCCTAAAATTACGTACTATCACATAAAAGTATGGTATAAATAAGACTGCAACTGAGAAATACTGATTAAATTGTTTTTCTGCACTATCCCAGCAATTACTCATACCCAAAAGAAAACAACCAAAGCAATTCTGCAGCTATTCTCACCCAAATAATCACAAAGCACAAAAATGAATCTATGCTGTTTGCATAATTTCTTTTCATCTTTTCCAGAGACTAAAATTTGCAGCTTATTAAAAAAAAAACTATAAGCCAACATTTATATGTAATTCTTATCGCAAAGATGTAAATGAGCCCAGATTTCAGTTATTGCAAATGAAAAATAACTATGTGAATCCAGCCAAAGGAAACCACTCACAGCAGGGTATTCCAAGACAAAGCTTTCCTCTGTTGGCCAGAATGTACAGAGAATAACTATGTGGAAATAAATTGTGAGCCAGCTTTTTCTGAATCTTTGTGCTTCAGACTAGGGGAGAACAGAGCAAGTTGTAAACAGCTTCTGGAAGATGACTATTTTTCCTACTAAGCTCTTCTAGGACAGGAATCAATGCAGGGAAAAGGTTATAAAAGACATCCTCTGATTTATTTCCACAAATGGTAGCATGTCATTTGGGTGATCTGAAAATTATCCCCCAAGAGGCCATGTCTTCTCGGCCCCACTATAGGCTCAGTCAATATCCTGACCCTTCGTCCACTGTCCTCAGTCTTGAGATGGCTCACAAGCTTGTTCCTAGGTCCACAGCTTCCAGGCAAAAGTAAGAGACTCAGAGCTGCCTGGACAGATGGCAGGAGCTAAAGGCCAGTTTGTATTTGGACTCAAGTGTCAATCCTTCTTACTCTTTGAGGAAAAAGTGCATCTTGTCATTGATGTTCTTGCGCTCGGGGTTCAGACGCTTAAGTATCTGGGCCAGAACGTTGACTGTCTGCTCACTGCTTAGCCCTGTCTTCTTAGTCTGGAACTTCTTCAGTAGATCCTTGGTAGTCATGGGTTTGCGGGTCAAGTAACGGCGGACAGCATCTTCTGTCAGCTGTACATCACTGCAAGGAAAGAAGGAAGGTTGAGAGACTGCAACATCACACCAGAAGCACGAGGAAAGGCTCCAAAGAGGACAATCATATTTTTCCTTCCAACAAAGACTTGTTGGAGGGAAAGAAACAATACAGGATTTTGCATACAATGTACAGGCTTTTGCATACAATGCCTGTACTGTCCTGACACTCTTCCTTGGTGTCTGTAACCACATGTGGCAAAAGCACATTTGAGAAGCATGGATGGTTACTTCTAACCCTTGCCAAAAGCTCTTGTTGGTGAATTGCTACTCCTACAATCTCTCAGTGTTGACTATGCAAGTTAGAATAGATGAGAGTTGCAATCTACTGATGACTAGAGGGCCATAGGTTTCCTTTGCAAAGAGCAAGCATGTTGTACTGGTTTTGGTGTTGGACCTTGAAGACCAGAGTTTGAAACCCAGAGTGGCCATGGAAACCCACTGGGTGACCTTGGGGAAGTCACATTATCTCAGCCATAGAGGAAGGTAATGGGATCCTCCCTCTGAACAAATCTTGTCAAGAGAACTCCATGATAAGTTCGCCTTGGGGTCACCTTGAGTTAAAAATTACTTGGAGACATAAGACAACAACAAAGCTTTGCGGCCCTTGGCTTCTGGATAACAATTAGCCACTTACATTGTTTATTGTTTTATTGGTGCATGTGCAAAATTCAGAAATTTGTATGCTGTCAGGAATCCTTACAAACGTTGTATGTGTTTCTCTGTTACTTGACTTCAAATTCTACTACCAGGTTTTCTTGGCCAGATTGATTTTGCCATTGTCTTTCTCTTAAGAGTTGAGAGAATGTGACTTGCTCAAGGTTACATGGTTGTGTTAAAAGCTTCCGTCTTTGGAGGCTTTTAAACAGACTGAATAGCCATTTGTCAAGGGTGCTTTGGTTGTGTGTTCCTTCATGGCAGGGGTTTGGACTGGATGCCCCGTGGTCTCCTCCAACTATGTTACTCAAATATTATTACTCTCATATTGCAGATTGTGGGTGATGGCTTAGGCAAACCAAAAGAGTGGCACAACTCAGGTTGGGATTTGAATTGAGAAATCCCTCTCCACAACTAGGAGCCACTATATTAATTTCAAGCTGGACTTATAGAACGTTTTCTCAAACCCACATTAAGGACCCCCCCCCCCCCAGTCCAATGCCAGTTTTCCACCTCCAAGAGTCAAATTTGCCCTGTTCGACTCATCGTGGGGCTGGTCGAGCTATTATTGCCAACACTTACCCACTGCTGGGAGTTGACTTGCCCGACTGTGGTTGGGGGGTAGATTTCCCAGATGTTGTAGCAGCCTGGTTTCCACTTTCCAGTTTCAGCCGTTTGGCAGCAGGGAATTCACCAGAACCTGCTTGCCGCTTGCCTGTTGCAAGGAAACAAAGCCAGTCAACTTCAGGAATCTAATCCACAAGTGCCATATTGTTCCATCTCCAGGGTTCAGGCCCTGCCTCCTCTTTATTAGCAGTCAAAATCAAGAAAACAGAACCTCACCCAAGTCACGGGAAGTTGCCCTATATTGTGTCAGATTCAATGGCCCATGCTGCTCAACATTCACAACCTGGGCTACAAGTCTTCAGGTTTTTAGGCAGGACTATTCCATAGCCCTAATTAGGATTGAACCTGGAACCTTTTGCATGCAAAGTATGTGCTTTGTCACTGAGCTACAGTCCTTATTAGTGGGCTGACTGAAGCAGAAACGGAACTTTTCAATTCTTATCAAATGTCACCCCAAACAAATTCCACCTCTATGCAGAAGCAAATACAGCCAAAGCTCCATATTTGCTGGTTGAATTTTTGTGGATTTGATTGTTGACAGATTTAATTAATAAGTTGTTTCCAAGAATCTCCAGGTCCTGTGCTGGAAGGTGACTATAGTGTTGGCATGCGAGCAGAACCAGAAGGTACGGGGCAAGGTCCAGGTCATCCTCAAGTTGTCCTCCCAATGTAAGGATGGGGCTGCTCACCCCATCCTTATGCCTGGAGGAAGGCAGGACACACAGTGAGTGCCCCAATCTCCCCCCCCCCGCCCCCCACAGAACTCCTGGCCATTAGACATGCAGGCTAGGGCTTCTGGGAGTTGGAGGGCCACAAGTTTGACATATCTTCACTACAGGAGTGGGAAACCATTTGGCTCTCCAGAAGTTTTGCACTGTAACACCCACAGTCCCCTCCTAGTGGCCATGAGGGTTAGGACTGCTAGCAGCTGAAATTCAAAATGTCTGGAAAGCCAAAGGTTCTGGACTAATGCTCCCAATCCTTTTGAAGGTGCAGCTTAATTTATCTCCAAAGACATCTCTGTTGGCATGGGTTATAAAAAAAATAAATGGCACACCGTGCTTTTGAAAAACACATTAGTTTCAGAAATCACAATCCTAAAAGGTAAAGAATGTCAAGCCTTGGCAGACTTCTACACTTGGCCATACCTTGCTCCAGTTTATTGGCTGCAGCCCGCAATGTGGAGGAGGTGCTGCTGGCATCCACCAAGGGAGTCCCTGGGCGGCTGTTCCCTTGTGAGCTACTGGCGGAGCCCTTGCGCTCCTTCTTGGGAGGGGTCTTCTTTTTCTGTAAGGACAGAGGGCCTGGTTCAGTTGGAAATCACATTGTCTCTCAGGCTCCACTATTCTAATGAGAGGAGTTGTATTTTAAGCATGCACAAAACTACCTACTGAGCATAAGTAACAAGAGCACAGGAATTGGTTGCCAGTTCCAAGATGCAGGATGGAAAATATTTATTCCTGTTTTCTGCTTATGGTCCAGGAGACAAAAATTTAGAACAGTATAACCACGTTTTCACTCATCCACGCGTTAAAAACTCTCTAAACCCAGAAAGTGTTTATGGGTCTCTCTAGCTTCTCCAGTTTGACTCTGTTTGCTTCCAGCCTAACTACAGTCAAAATATAGGGTTTGCCATTATCCATAGTCTCAGGTATCCATGGGGGAACGTATTTCCTGTGGGTACAAGGATCATACTGCCACCAGGTAGACAGGGAATGTTTCATGTGCTTATAGATATTGCAAGCCAATTTCCAAGGCTGTCTAAGTACATTTGAGAAAGTCAACAGAAAACAAGGGCAGGGTTTTAATAGAAAATATTATTTTAAAAGGACAAATCATTTAATTACTTTGTTACGGCCACCAGAATAAACTACATGAGAAATTGGAGATGCAAAAAAGTCCCTACAATAGAAGATTGGCTATTAAAACTGATATAATGAACATGGATAATTTGACACAACTACTAACTAACCAACAAGGCAGAGCAAAAGAAAATAACAGACTGGAGACCATTTAAGGAATTTTCAAAACGACAAAAAATTGAAATGCTAATTTAAAAGAAAGAAACACAGTAAAAGACTGTTCACACTTGGAAACAAGGAAAAATGGGAGAAAAACTATCCAAAGAAACAAAGTGTTATGAACCTCAATGAGGAAGATTGGAAATCAACAAAATCCCCTTTCCTTTCCTTTCCTTTCCTTTCTCCCTTCACCTTACTCTATCTCATACTTTATATTCCCCCAAAATGGTAGTTTTTACCCCAAACCCTACCTATTTATCCCTCCCAATCCCATTACCCCGGTTTTATAATATTGTAGATTTTTTTAAAGAAAAATTATTTTTAAAAGAAAAGAAAGCAAGGGTAGGGTGTAACAATTAACAGAAAGATAGCTGAGATACAATGAATGTCAAGAGAATGCAAATTTGCAGACTCCCCAAAAGCAGAGTCATGCTCAACACTGCAATGTCAGGTTGCCTAATCTTATTAGGTTATGTGCTGATGTTCATCACACAAACAGAAGTAACGTTCGTCAAGAAAGTTCCGTCCATGGAAACCTGCCCAGACTGCAACCACACTTATGAATGATTTGTGGACTCTCTTGCATTTCTTACTTGCCTTTTCATATAATTCAAGCCCTCAAGGCAACTGAGAACTATAAATGAGAACATGGGATGGGACATAGGTTTTGCTGGTAAGTAGGAGCCTCATGGAGGGATTGGCATTTAATGAACAGTGCTGGAAATGGAGAAGATAATGGTATCTCACCTCCCACTTCAGTTCAGAGAACATTTAACAGAAACCAGGTCTCTTCTTAAAACAATGACAAAATGAAAAGGCACTTGCTATGACGAGGCTTTTGGTTAAGAATACTTTGAATCATAACATGTCTATGCCCAAAATAAACTTCTCCCAAAGAGATTTAATTAGAACTTCCACAGAGAGATCATTATAGAGCAGGGGCAGGGATCATGTAACCATTCAGATGTTGGACTGAAACTCTCAGTAACCCTAGATGGAATAATCAGCAATGAGAGTTGTAATTCATCAATATCTGGAGAGCTGCATGATACCTACCCTTGCTATAGAAAGTTGTCGATCAGCTGCATACAACACAACCGAAGACAGTGACCAAGGCTATGATTATGATGGGAGTTGTTGTTTGATGAGACATCAGCACTCTTTGGCAGAGAAAGCTGAAGACCTTGTGAAACTACAACTCCCATTAATCTGAAGAGGCAGACGCAAACACACCAGAGAACATATTGCAAACACCAAAGGTAGAAAAGCCTCCAACATCAAATATGAAGGTAGAGACACCTGCAAAGCCAAATGTAAAGAGATCTCAGACATCCAGTATAGAACCCCAATAGGACACTTCACATGCATAAAACAAAACAACCCCGCAAAGTCCTGGTTAAGAAAGAAGTGGAGGGGAAGAGCAAAAGTCCTAGCAATGATGGTGAAAATTTGTCACCCATCCTCATCCCTAGAAGGAGTAAAAAAAGAGAGGCAAGAATGAGCCAGAATTCTTTGTGGCACCTCAAGCAAAAGTGTGCATGGTTGTTGGAAGAAAGAGTGTTGAGAAAATATGTCTTGATAATGAGCAAGAAAGTCTGAATGTGAGGCAGGATGTGGATGTGCTCACAAGACAAGCTCTGAGGCATGGTTGTGGTGGAAATGACACCGTATTTGGAGTAGAGAGGCATAGGGACCAGAGTGTGGTCAAAAATGAATGGATCTGTGAGAAAATGTCTTTGGTAGTAAAGAAGTGGAGTCATCCAGAAGCTGGAATGTGTGTGTGCTCGGAAAGTGCAAACGAAACTTCCAGAAGAGTATGGCAGAGACACATGTGAATACCAGAGACACAGAAAGGGAATGTAAGGAGCCTAGAAGAAGTGTGACAAAAGAGCATGCATGTTTGAATGCCAAAAGCACAAATGTTGGATGTGTGGAGTTTGCGAGAAAGGAAAAACCCAGGGTCAGTGACTGGAAAGTCTTAAAAGAGCAGTCAGGCACCCAGAACAAAACTCCCACATGTGTAGCTGAGGATTTGCCATGGCTGAGGCCAGAATCTGAAGGATAAATTCTGTGTATTGATGTATGTAAATAAAAATGTGTAATCGTAATAAAGATGTTTTGAAAAGTCTGGGGAACTGCAAGGAAAAAATAGACAGACAAAAGGTAGCAACAACACTGGTACGATTCTCTGAGATGAGAAGCCTATGTTGGGGATTGAAACTGACAAATGTTTCATACAGTAAAATGTGACATGTTTTCAGAAGCATTTTTGGAGGGGATTGTCAGTCAGACAATGTTGTATTAATCAGAAATGCAACTCCATGTGATTTAATGTATGTGTGAAAAATTATTTCTGAACATGACACTGAAATCCACAGAAGGGTTAAGTATGTGGTGATTTGTAACAAGTGGGACTGGCTAAAGAAGCTAAGTCATGTGACAGAAATGAAAACATTTGCATCATTTCCTTTGTCCCTGAGCATAAGGGATAACCAGTGTGGGTATATAAAGAGTGGAGATCCATGTGCTCTCTCTCTCTCTTCTCTTCATGTCTGATGCCTCCATGAAGGAGGGCCTGTTGCCACGTTGATGGCTACGTGTTTGTGAGTATCATTAAGCCTGTAAATCAGTGGTTCCCAACCTGTGGTCCGTGGACCACCAGTGGTCCACAGAACTAAAATATGGTCCACGGCCTCACCATTACTACACCATTACAACGAGAGCAACTGGTCTCACAAAAACCTCTTATATGCCAAGGCTTATTAAATATGGTTTTCTGTGTGCGAGCAGATGGCGACTACTGGATGGCGTATGTTCTGTATCAGAAACTAGAGCTGATGTGGTCTATCCAATGCAATTTTCTGAATCAGCACCCCACATTAAAAAAAACAACAAATCTAAAGTTGACCAAAAACCAATTCGTAACCCTTTTGGTACTAATGTTGGAGAGTGGTCCCTGGTCAAGTGCTCCCTAGTCAAAAAAAGTTTGGGAACCATTGCTGTAATTAAACTGTTCAAATACAGCAAGTCACAAAATAAAATCTTCAAAGTACTTTTGGATGAAGCCGAAAGTTCCAGTGTTTCATTAAAAGATAAGGCTTGGTAGCTGGACAATATTTCACTCTGCTCATCACTAAGTTGCTGATAAAGGACTCAGCTGATGTTTGGCTGTTTGGATCTGCTTGCTGTGGTATATTCCATATGAGCACAGCCTAACGGTGGTAGTAATTGGAAGGCTATAAATTACTTGCCTACCTGATGGGGTGGTTGTGAATGTTGATCCCAACCCACTCTGACAGAATCTGTGTCATTGACCCATGACAGTTAAAATGATGTAAAACTGCATTCATTCTACAGTGTCAGTGCACCCCTTCAAAACAAGAAGAAAGGATAGGTGGAGGAAGATGCAAAAGAACTTCGAGGTACAATTGGGTGAGGAAGAGGAAGCATACAAAGCTCTTTTGACATACTAGATAATTCCTTGTAAATTCAAAAGGGAGAAAAGTTACCATTCGAACTACTTGTTGTGTGCTCACACTGTTTGAAGGAAGTGAAAACTGAAGGATGTTAAAAATAATTCCTCACATGTGATCATAAATGTTACAGTCCATGCTAGTAACCCATGAAGACCAAGTTTGAGCTAGAAATAATAGGGGAACTCCATGACGAAGCTCCAGATGAACCAGCCCTCCACCATCCAAACTCTCAGGAATTACCGTCATAAAGAGCGCTGAAGAGGCTTCGCTGTCAATGTCGCTGTCCTCAGATGTCTCAGATTCATCACTGCTATCTGTAACACAGTGTCAACAAATCAACCTAGGCTTTAGTACCTTCATGGCCACCAGTTATTTGGCTCACTAGTAACCTGTACTCAGAAGTTCATATTTCTCTTACATCGCCTGCTCAAGAGATCCTTCTGAAGCAGGGGTCCTCAAACTATGGCCCAAGAGCCGGATACGGCCCTCCAAGATCATTTACCCGGCCCTCGCTCAGAGTCAACCTAAGCTTGAAACGACTTGAAAGCACACAATATCATCAACAACAATCCTATCTCATCAGCCAAAAGCAGGCCCACACTTCCCATTAAAATACTAATAAGTTTATATTTGTTAAAATTGTTCTTCATTTTAATTATTGTATTGTTTTTAAGTGTTTTTTGCACTACAAATAAGATATGTGCAGTGTGCATAAGAATTCATTCATGTTTTTTTCAAATTATAATCTGGCCCTCCAACAGTTTGAGGGATTGTGACCTGGCCCTCTGTTTAAAAAGTTTGAGGACCCCTGTTCTAAAGTAACATCGCGCCATCTGCTACTTCAAGATTCCTCTTGCTACAAATTACAGACAGGCTAGATACATCACTTCAGTATTCAGCTTTGACTGGCAATTATATGACTTACTTCAGAAACTCTCAAAGCATTAAAAGCCTGCAAATATGCATGATTTCAACCAAAAAATATAATCATGTTGTGCTAGCCACAAAAGGAAGCTAATAGGATATGAGAACCTTCACCAAACAGGCACTGTCCAGACACATACTACTGTAGCCATAAGAACAAGAATCTTTTCTCTTCAAACTGAAATTTTAGGAAAGATGAAGTCTGTAACCTAAAACCATAATATCTGCTTCTGTGAAAGTGTACCTCAGGGAGCCCTGCCCTAGGCCTGACTTACACATCTCTTTCCAAGCCTTCTGGCATATTTGCTTCAGCATCCCAACTGTACTCACCTTTCTTCTTCTTCTTGTCCTGTGGAGTGGGGACCTTCTTCTCCTCCTCTTCCTCTTCCTTCTCCTCTGCAGGCTTCTCCTCCTCACTCTCTTCACTACTCTCGCTTGCTTCATCTATACCTGCAAGAGATAAAATAAAGGCAGGTAAGCCATTACCTACTGGCATCTGAGCAGCTTGCATGATGTAACCAGATAGAAGATAAGGGAACAGTCACTGTGAGCCCTCGGTAGTGCAGCAGGTTAAACTGCTGAGCTGCTGAACTTGCTGACCAAAAGGTCAGCGGTTCGAGTCTAGGGAGCAGGTTGAGCTCCTGCTGTTAGCCTCAGATTCTGCCAACCTATCAGTTTGAAAACACAAATGTGAGTAGATCAATAGGTACTGCTTCTGCGGGAAGATAATGGCGCTCCATGCAGTCCTGCCGGCTACATGACCTTTGAGACATCTACCGACAACGCCAGCTCTTCGGCTTAGAAATGGAGATGAGCACCACCCCCCAGAGTTGGACATGACTAGTCTTAATGTCACGGGGAAACCTTTACCATTATCACTTAGCTGTGTGGCTGCTCTTGGCAAGAATGCCTATCCATTTCCCAAACAAACTCTTTATGAATGCAACTAAAACTGAAATCACTAGTTTCTGTGCCTTGCTGTTCCATTCTGCTGTATCTGGAAGGATATGGCTAGGATTCTTTAATAAGGAATGATCACCAGCCTCAACAAGCTACAGTTACTACAGTTCTTTTTATACCTTAAAAAGGCATAAGCAATACAGACTGTTTCAAAACGATGGACCCAATTTCAAAGCAGCATATATTACAATGGCAACATGTCACAATTACATAAAAAGTTGCAAATGGTTGAATGAATTATCAAGTTTTGCTATTTTATAAATGCTCTATGTGCTCTCCACCTGCTGTGTGTTTTCTGAACTACAAAAAACAAAACATCTTATGTTACAGGATCACCATCTTAAAAATGGCTGAGACTATTGGCTGTTTTTGCACAGAGAGAGGCATCTAGTGCTTTGAACTCTTTACCCCACCCTTTCAGGGGGAAAAAGTTTCATTCATGGGCAGTTCGTGGTTGCAGATACAGCGATTTTCTTTTCGAAACACCCTTTACAGTAGGGTGTTTTGTGGGTAGGGGGAATGACAAGTTAAAATATTATTTTTTAAAACCCAAGAGAACTTTTATAGGGATATCTTTAAGTCCTCCAGTGTGGCTCTGCTAGAGTTTGACCATACCATCACTTTGGAAAACCTAGAGAGTTCTAGAGAGACCAAAGTTATACTCTCAAATTTGGAGGGCCAACAGTATACAGTTTCAGTGTACAATTACATCAAATGAGAATAAGGTGGGATGAACAGATCATTTTGAATCTCAAAAACTTTTACATCAAATACAAGTGTATGTCCTACAAAGAAGTCAGGCATAGTAATTATTAGGGATATTTATTTATTTATTTATTTATTTATTTATAGCTTTTATAACCCGGTCTTCTCGACCTCTGAAGAGGGACTCAGGCCGGCTAACAACAGGAAATTCATACACAAATAAGCTAAAGCATATTAATATCATAATACGTTAATACATTAAAAATACATTAAAATACAGATTAAATAATTACAGAATAATTACATTCTATCTATCGATCTATCTATCTATCTATCTATCTATATACATACACACACACACACACACACACACACACAAGCTTTCGGTGGTCCTTCAGCCTGGTTGTTCTCTCAAAATTAGATTTGTTTATTCATATAAACAAATGCACCGGGATTGTGGCGCAGCTGGCTGAGTATCAGCTGCACTAAGATCACTCTGACCAAAAGGTCATGAGTTCGAAGCCAGCCCAGGCTGGAGTGGGTGTCCAGCCATTGTGTAGCCCGTTGTCAACCTTTGCAACCCAAAAGACAGTTGCATCTGTCAAGTAGGAAAATACGGCACCACCTTGTGTGGGAGGCTACATTTAACTAATTTATGAGGCCATAAAGAAAAAAGACTCCGGGGAATGTGGAATGCGGAAGAACTTCATCGGTGTCGCTGATGGACGATGAAAAGCAGCAGCTCCCCTGGTGGCCAGAAAAAAGTTAAATAGCCTTGGTGTATGTCTGTATATGTTTATATGTCAAAAACTGGCATTGAATGTTTGCCATATATGTGTTGACTGTAATCCGCCCTGAGTCCCCTGCGGGGTGAGAAGGGCGGAATATAAGAACTGTAAATAAATAAAATAAATATATGTGCTACTACTTCAATTTAACCACATACCTTTGGGGATGTCTTCTTCATTGGTTGTCTTGGGCTTTCCCACCACTTCCTCTACTGAGCTACTGCAAGAAAACAAAAAGCCAACCAAAATATGAGCTGTCAAAGACAACAGGGCAATCTGGGGCAGAGAGAAACAGCCCCCTGTGGAGATATATATACTAAGAAGCAGGAATCTGGCAGAGTTGTGTATCGCACATTCAATCCCACAATAGCTAAGTCATCTTGCTTCTCTCAAGTGCACAGCAAACTCTCTCTTTTCACCAGTGCTGAGAGAAATTCAGCACTGGTGGCAACAGGAAATGCAAAAAAAATGAAACATACAGAAAACACTGAATAGGAAATACTGATGGGAGAAGGGGAAACAGCAGCAGCAGCTAAACTAATTGTGAATGCCCAGACAATGGAGACTAGAACAAGTGAGATGGAGACTAGAGCGATGTTGGCAGAAAAATCAGAGCAAATCTGATCAAGCATGAACTAGAGCGTATTTGAAAACCTACTCTGCAGCATTGGAGGCAGCAGAGAAATCGTTTATTGCTGCCACCATTGCATCTGCAAAGAACCCCCCAGTTGAGCTGTTTCAAGTGATCCTCGAGGAGAGAATTCTGACCATTCAACAGATTGCTGTGAAGAATTTGCACTGTACTTTGCAGATAAAGTTGTTCAGATCCATTCTGACTTAGATGCTGTTATTGATACAGTTCTAATTGATGTAACTTTGGCTCCTGCTTGTCCTGTGTTGATGGATACCTTTCAGTTTGTGCAGCCTGAGGATGTGGACAGGATCCTTGGAGAGATGAGAGCGACCACATGTATTCTAGATCCTTGTCCTTGCTGGCTGATCAAACAGGCCAGAGGGGGACTGGCAGAGTGAGTGAAGGGAATGGTCAATGCCTCCTTGGAGCAAGGCAGAGAGACTTATATTTAAGACATCCTTGAACCTCTCTATAATGGATAATTATCAGCCAGTGTCCAACCTCCCCTTTCTGAGCAAGGTTTTGGAGCATGTGGTGTGGAAATCCTAGCTCCAGGGATTTCTGGATGAAACGAATGAGCCAGATCCATTTCAATTTGGTTTCAGGCCTGGCTATGGAACAGAGACAGCTTTGGTCGCCTTGGTGGATGGCCTATGAAGAGAAGTACACAGGGGGCGTGTGTCCCTGTTGGTTCTTTTGGACCTTTTGGTGGCGGGTTTGATACCATCAACCATGGTATCCGTCTTGCTGGGGTAGGACTGGGAGGCAATGTTTTACAGTGGCTCCACTTCTTCCTGGAAGGCTGTACCCACAAGGTGGTGCTGGGGGACTCCTGGTCGAACCCCTAGCAATTGTCCTGTTGGGTTCCTCAGGGTTCTCCCCCCTCTCCCCGCAAATGCTGTTCAACATATATATGAAACTGCTGGGGGAAATAATCCAGAGTTTTGGAGTACAGTGCCACCTATATGCAGATGAGACCCAACTCTACTACTTCCCACCTAAAGCCAAGGAGGTTGTTCTGATCCTAAACTAGTGCCCGTCATCAGTAATGACTTGATGAGGCAAATAAATTAAATTTAATCCAGACAACACAGAGGTGCTTCTGGTCAATTAGAAGGCAGACCAGGGAATAGGGATCCATTATGTGCTGGATGGGGTCACACTCCCCCTGTAGACACAGGTCTGCAGTTTGGGGGTCCTCCTAGATTCACTGCTGAACCTGGAGGCCCAGGTCTCAGAGGTGGCCAAGAGGGCCTTTGCACAACTAAAACTGCTCCTGACCCTTGAACAGGCAGATCTGGCTATGGTGGTACATTCCTTAGTTACATCCCGTCTAGATTACTGTTACGCGCTTTACATGGGTGGCCTCTGAAGAGTGCTTGGAAACTTCAGCTGGTCCAAAAAGCTGCAGCCAGGTTGCTAACTGGGGCTGGTTACTGGGAGCACACAATCCCCATCGCAACAGCTCCACTGGCTGCATTGGTTTCCAGGCGCAATTGAAAGTGCTGGTTATGACTCTAGACTACTCACGTCCAGGCTATCTGGCTGACCGCATCTCCTATATGAACCTGCCTGGGCCCTGAGATCCTTAGGAGATGCCCTTCTCTTGGTCCCACCTCCATCTCAAGCTCAGTTGGTGTGGGAACAAGAGAGCAGGCCTTCCTTCTCAGTGGCTGCCCCATGACTCTGGAACTCCCTTCTTCCCAGGAAAGCCAGAATGGCCCCCTCCCTGCTGTCCTTCTGGCATCAGGCTAAAACTTTTTTAAGCCTGCCACAGGCTGCTATGGTTTTTAACTGTGATTTTTTGAAATACTATTGATATTTAATTCTGTTTTAATTTTTGTAGATTTTAAATTGTATTGAAATGCTTTTAATGTAACCCACTTTGAGTCTTCTTGTGGAGAGGAAAAGCAGGGTATAAATACACATAATAATAATTAATAATAATAATAATAATGCTTTCCCAAGCTGAGAAGAAACTACTTCCAATCTGTGGCAGAGCTCACCTAGAGCCATCAGACATATAGTCCACCTCCTGGCCCTCAAAGTCCCCATCATCACTGTCTTCAAAGGCTTCATCATCAGATCCCTTCTTTTTCTTCTTCTTCTTTGTGAGAGGGGCTTTCTTCTTGGGTTTGGTTGGCTTTTCACCTAATAAGAAACAAAAAACAAAAAATTCAAGGCAATCCACTGAAAATGAAGGGCTATTAGTTTCAGCACTGTGTGGACATTTTGGCCCAGAATCCTATAGAATTGAAATGGGAAGGGCTGCCTTAGAAATGACCACTCCAGGTAGCAAATTTGAGGTGTCACCAAAAGGCAGTAAACTGAAAACGTACATAATGATCATTATGTGTAGACCACTGTGGATGGGAAAAGGTGTTTGTGGAATTTAGCCTCATGAACTTAAATAATTTTGCTGACTTTAGGCACTCAGGTGAATGAGAGGCGGGTCACCACTATACCCCTCCAACTCAGGAAGCAAACTGTCTTGGACCCAAGGCTGCCCATTCTAAAGCAAGCCACTGAAAAGGGCCATCTACAAGAGCTTCCTGATGGTAAGAGCTGTTTGGCAGTGGAATATGCTGCTTCCTTGGTGTGTGGTAGAGTTTCTGGAGGTTTTTAAACAGTAAACATCTGTCAGGAGTGCTTTGAGTGTGTATTCCTGCCTGGCAGAATGAGGGAGGACTGGATGATCCTTTGGGTCTCTTCCAATTTATGCCCACCGCTCTTCTAGTCTCAACTTTCCATACCATCGGCATCACTGAATTCGCTGTCATCTGAGCTCATTTCCAGATCATCTTCCAGATCGTGGATTTTCAAATCATTCCCTTTCTTTTTGCCTTTCTTCTCTTTCTCTTCCTCTTCCTCTTCGCCTTGGTCCTTCAGCCGCCGCTGTTGCATGATACTGAAATGGTTCAGCACTTTGTTTCGCCTGCAAAAGAGGAAAATGGGTCACACTCAGCTACCAGAGGCACATGCAAGAAAGCTGGGCCAAACCTTGAGACTATGACATTGTCATCTCTCTGGAGCACTCTCTGAATTGGAGGCACAAAGAAAAGGGCTACAATCCTCATACTATATCTTGGAAATATATTAGGGCTCTGTACTCTCACCTCTCCCATTCCTCCTCAGCTTCCTCTGCAGTCAATGTACGGTGTTTGGCAATGGGAGTAAAGTTATACCAGTTATTAACTGGGAAGGCTTCAAAGGCACCATCTGGACACTGGGTGAAGATGTAGTAAGATGTGTTTTCTGTCACGCCACCCTTTTTCACACCTTTGAACCTGGGTGAAAAGGAACAGGAGATATCTTAAGAATTTAAATCAGACATAGTGGTTTGAGCATTGAACTATGACTACACTGAGCTGTGGAAGCCACTGATTAACTTTGGACAAATAACTCTCTCTCTCAGCCTCAGAGAAAAGCAACAGCAAACCCCCCTCTGAACAAATGTTGCCAAATGAACCTTTTAGGGTTGCTACAAGTCAGAAATGAGTTGACAGTAACAACCCCCCCCCCCCAAAAAAAAACAACAACACCTCATTTGAAGACTAGGATTGAAAGATTTTGGCTTTAGATCCAGAAAAGAAACAAAGTTTGTGTACATTGGATCATCAAATGTATCATAATTTTGGATTTGGGGAGTATTTCAGAATTCTGCCTAGGTGAATATACAACCTGTTTTAATGGACACATTTATCAACATTCATATTTTCAAAAAGCTTTGATAGTATTAAGGTGTAAAAAAAAGCACTTAATGAAAGTTTGTTTACAGGAATTGAATTTTTTTTATTTCAACTTAAGGAGCATTCCTTTAGAAATCTATCTGATCTAGCAGACAAACTTATTTTTTCTCCCATGCATTAGAACCCAGTACCACCCTCGGGCCCTATTATTGATTACATCCATCATTTTCCCCATAAACTTGCTACCATCTGGCAGCCAATGGCTCATAGAGCTGCAGGGTCTTTAGGCAGCACTTTCCTAGAGACAACAACTATGGAGATGGTTTTCTTTCCTCCCTCACATTATGAAAGACCCAGGATCATCTAAGGAAACTGAATGATGTGAGACTAAGCACAGGCAGAAGTCCTTCTTCACACAGCACAACTTAAAAACAAGCTGAAAAGTGTCCAGAGGGCAGCAACTAAAATGATCAAGGCTCTGGAGAACAAGCCCTATGAGGAGCGGCTTAAGGAGCTGGGCATGTTTAGCCTGAAGAAGAGAAGGCTGAGAGGAGACATGATAGCCATGTATAAATATGTAAGAGGAAGTCACAGGGAGGAGGGAGCAAGCTTGTTTTCTGCTTCCCTGGAGACTAGGACGTGGAACAATGGCTTCAAACTACAAAAGAGGAGATTCCATTTGAACATGAGGAAGAACTTCCTGACTGTGAGAGCCGTTCAGCAGTGGAACACTCTGCCCCGGAGCGCGGTAGAGGCTCCTTCTTTGGAAGCTTTAAATAGAGGCTAGATGGCCATCTGTCGGGGTTGCTTTGAATGCAATATTCCTGCTTCTTGGCAGGGGGTTGGACTGGATGGCCCACGAGGTCTCTTCCAACTCTATGATTCTATGGAATTGGTTCCACAAAATAGAACAATAGCTGCTAATCTGGTCAGGTTTAAATTAGATTAGAGAAATTCTTGGAGGATAAGGCTATTAGTGACTATTTGGTGTTGTTATTGTTATTATTATTTATCACCTCTATTGTCAGATGTTATAAGCCTCCGCATATGGTTTCTGGTAGCACAAGCAGGAAAATACTATTGCTCAGATGTCTTGTGAACTTCCAATTGGCACTTGTTTGCTTGCTCTGGGAGCAGGAGAATGAATTACATAAGTCTCTGGTCTGATCCAGTCCAAGTTACAATCTTACATCTCTCATGTGTAAGTAGAGTACAGCCCCCTTATCTGCAGAACCAATTTTTATGGTTTCATTGATTCAGTTCTCCTTATTCATGTAAGGCATCCTGTACATGCTAAACTCTCTTTTCAGTACCTCCATTATTTGTCCCACTGAAAATAATAGGTTTCTCTACTATCCATGATTTCAGGTATTCATGTGAAGTCTGGGAACGTATCCCTGCAGATATGGAGGTTGTGCTGTATCCCATTCTGCACTCAAGTAATGTATGTATCTCTCCCTACATGCTCCTAATTTAGCCAAGGTGGAAGAATAATGGCAATTATCCTCCAAAAAGCAAGACTTCTACTTGACAAAAGACACCACTATCAACTGCTCACTTGCGCCCAGTCTTGCCATTGACTTTCAGGATCCAGGGCTGGTCCTCTGGCTTGAACTCCTTTAAGATGATGCCGTATTTCTTGCGCCGTGCCTCCTCTCGCAGCTTACGGTTGAACTCACTCCCAGCTCCTGACTCAGGCATTTCTTCTTCCTGGTAGATCTTCTTATTGCTGAGATCTCGCTCCATCTTTGCCTGTGGAGGAGAAGAAAAGAAGTAGCTAAGGCCTGGTATGTTGCCTGATAAGCAAGAAATAACCGTTCCCTAAGCAGCCCATCAAACATACAATACTTTGGTGAAGTATTCTTTTTTCCTTTTTGTCAACATCATGTTGGGCCTTCTTTCTGATCCACTGGTGACAACCAGGACTAAGGAATAGTTAAGTCAACAAAGATCTAGAAATAGTTTTCTAAGATCTACAGAGACACTCGCTGGAACACCTCAGCAAGCGAGAGTCCAAAAGTGGCAGGCTCAAGCCCAGAACCTTAACCAATGGCTGATACCAAATGAGAGACAGAAGACTAGGCGACTTGGAAGGCACTGAACAGACTGCGCTCTGGCACCATGAGATGCAGAGCCAACCTCAAGAAATGGGGCCACAAAGTGGAATCCACGACATGCGAGTGTGGAGAAGAGCAAACCACAGACCACCTTCTGCAATGCAACCTGAGCCTTGCTACATGCACAATGGAGGACCTCCTTGTGGCAACACCAGAGGCACTCCAAGTGGCCAGATACTGGTCAAAGGACATTTAATCAGCTACCAAACTCGCAAATTTTGTATTTTGTTTGTTTGTTTGTTTTGTTCTGTTAGAAATGTAATACAATTGACTGGTTGCCCTGATACGACAAATAAATAACAAAGACTAAAGCAGAAGCACCACAGCTTGGCTGTGCCGAGATGTGAAGACACAGGATTTCTCTGTGGCTGAAAAGTGTATGTGTTTGGAACTGAACAACCTTTTGGTACTTAAGCCTTTGTTCCTCCTTGCACATTTCCTTCACTCCAAGATTCCCTGGCTGTTTAAGTCTAGGCAGAAAAAATAAACAAGGAATAGGACCGGCAAGATTTGAGTTTTGGCCTAGGATGCTGGAAACTAGAGTTCCAATCCCTGCTTGGCCATCAAAACTGAGTGACTTTGGGGAAGTTGCATTCTCTGTCTCAGGGGAAGGCAATGGCAAAGCTCCTCTGAACAAATCTTATCATTATATGTTTGTCTGAAAGTTTCCATGAGTTGTTATATTTGCTAATTTTGGATTCCCCCCCCCCCTCTCATATGAGCACAGGTTGCCATTGCCCAGACAATCAGACAGACAGATAGTCAGCATGTAAGATTTAATCAAATATTGAGTATAACCTGAACTTGAGTGTCCTACCTGGTGCCAAGTAGCAAAGTTGACTTTGTCGGCAGCATTGAAGGCCATAATATTATATTTTTTGGAGGTATTTCTATGGAAAGAGAAAAAAAAGAAACCATTACTTACAATTTAATATTAAACTGAGAAATAATCAAACATAAAATTGAGCAATACCTACTTTAAGAAGAAAGAAAATTACAAATGGCACTTACTTGGGAACTCGTACCACATATTCAGTTGCCGTCTGGCTGCTAGTTCCCTAAAAATAAAAAAGTCATTTCCACAAGTTAAAAAAGAAAACGGAATGGAAGGAGTGAACTACTGTGTAATCCACGTGTTATTTTGCAAAGCGTACAAGGAAGTATATATTGTCTGTTTTAACTAACATACTCCCTGCAGGAAAAGAAAGGCCAAAGAAACAGTGACACTACAAAGAACAATGAAGACAATCTAATATCCATGGCTAGTCCATCTTTCAATATGCTCCTTACAAGCTGTCAGTCTAGCTTTAGTTAATCTACACATATTTTTTACCAATGTACCAAATGTGAAGACTAAGGTATGGATGCTTTTCCAATAACATGCTTCTGAAATGTTTTGGACCTTCATTCAGTGCGTATCTCACTGAGGCAGTTAAACATTCGGGTCTCCCTATCACTGCTGTGGAGAAGGGAGCTGGATACAGAGAACTTTTTTCATTAAGTGTTGCTATAACAATTATTTTAAGAGCAACTTTGTCAAAGCAGGCCAGATGGGATTTCCAGGGATAATTGAGAGTAATGGTCTCAATTTGGGACAATATAGCACAGTGGGAAATAGTGGGCTACTAGTGTATATACCCGGCGTTGCCTGGGTGTCATTGGGATTACTGCCTACCTGCTTTCTCCTTTCTCCAGCTCTAAGAAGGCCGACCTCATGATGTCTCTTTGGCAACACTCTGGCTGTGTTGGGCAGGCTCTCTTTGTAGCTCTTTCTTTCCTTCCTCCATTTCCCTCATGCATCTTCGCCCTCTCTTTTTTCTTTCTTCTTCTCTTGCATTCTCTCATATACTTTCCCTTCTATTCTTGTTCTTTTCACTTCTTTCCTTCCTCTTCCCTACTTTTTCTCTCTTCTCTTATCTTCCTTCCTTCATCCCTTCCTTTCTCTTCTCTTCACTTCTTTCTTTTTCTTTCCTCTCCTCATTCTTTCCATTTTCTTTCTCTTCCCTTCCTCTTATTTTGCTTTTTTCCTTCCCTTCCTTCTCCTCATACATACTTCATCTAGAAGCAGCCAAACCATTTCACTCCCTTTCTTTCTTTACCAGTGGCATCAGAGGGTCAGTTCACCTACAAACAGCCAATCCTTCATCTAGCCTCAGCCTATCCACTTTGATCTTTTTCTTTTTCTCTGTTCTGGGCCTGAAAAGAAGTGTTTTGTTTTGTTTTTTGGTTCAAATCCCTCAACTATTTCAAATTGGATAAAGAAGAGTATGTGTGCCAAGTTTGGCCCAGTTCCATCAAGCCATGTCGGAGCCTTTATGGTACAAACAGACAAACCAACATTCATTCATACATACATAGACTTTTATTTAGATATTAGTTTTACAGTTCTCTGGATGCTCCCAATTACTAAGAACCTCTAGGAGGTCACATGCATTTCAAACAACCCCAAGATTTAAAAACTCACCAAAGAAGTCATTTCTTGATGTGCAGTACAGGTATTTAGCAGTGACTTGGTAAAACACTGACCTGAAGGAGAAAGAATGAAATAATCAGGTTAAACAGGACGAGCAAAAGCTCTGTGAGTAAAGAAAGTCAGCGGAGGCACTGCAGAAAATGATGGCAGACCGGAGAGAGGACTGAAAATACCAAATGGAAAAAGAGCAACAAGGAAAAACGTCACTAAGGACTGCCACATTTTGCTGCCTCAAATTCTGACACTCCAGGAATATCTAGAGAAGTGTGGAGTGCCTTTTGTCAGAGCAGGTTTTTCTTTTAAAAGGACAAAATGTCTCCAGTGAGTAAAGGCCTAAATGTATAGGACCCGAAGTGTTTTAGAATTTGGACACATCTTGGAGATGGAGCCCAAGCCTAAACACATAATCTGTTTATGTTTCCTAAATATGCATATATGTTTTAATTGATTTTAACTTTGATTTTAAAAATACTGTTTATGTTTGCATATTTGTATATTTTAAACTGTATGCAAATGCTTTTATGTTGAGCTGCTTTGAGTCTCCTTTGGGAGAGATAAAGCGGGGTATAAATATAGCAACAACAACAACAACACCTGAATAAAATCCCATATTATCTGATTTGAACTGAGATATATGGCAGTGTGGACTCAGATATCCCAGCTCAAAACAGATATTATGGGGTTTTCTGCCTTACTATTCTGAGTTATAGGGCTGTGTGGGAGGGCCCTGGGTTATATGCAATCAATCAATCTAGATAGATAGATAGGCCAATTACATCTGAATATACATATAGATATATTTAAGCCAGAATACTGGGCATCTGACTGTAAGGGTGCATCTACTACATGAAGGCAGTTTGACACTTAGGCCCCTTCTACATTGCCATATTAAATTCAGATTATCTGCTTTGATAATCTGGATTAGGAGCCCCCGGTGGCGCAGTGGGTTAAACCCCTCTGCCGACAGGACTGAAGACCAACTGATTGCAGGTTCGAATCCAGGGAAAGCGCGGATGAGCTCCCTCTATCAGCTCCAGCTCTCCATGTGGGGACATGAGAGAAGCCTCCCATAAGAATGGTAAAAACAACAAAAACATCAGGGCGTCCCCTGGGCAACGTCCTTGCAGACGGCCAATTCTCTCACACCAGAAGCGGCTTGCAATTTCTCAAATCGCTCCTAACATGACAAAAAAAAAATCTGGATTATATGGCAGTGTAGAAGGGACCTTACTTTTCACTGTCATGGCTCAATGCTATGGAGTCCTGGGAACTGTATTTTGGTGAGGCCCCAGCACTCTTTGGCAGAGAAGGCCTTGTAAAACTACAACTTGGTTGAAGGTTTAGAAGGCATGATTATCAAGTTTGCAGATGACACCAAATTAGGAGGGATAGTGAATACTCCAGAGGACAGGATTATAATTCAAAAGGACCTTAACAGATTAGAGAGCCGAGACAAAATTTATAAAATGATTTTAATTAAGCACGGCCTCTCCACACGATCTCTTTGTTCATCTGGAGAGGCCCTGCTCACGATCCCACCTGCATCACAAGTGCGATTGGTGGGGACGAGGGATAGGGCTTTCTCTGTGGTGGCCCTTCGACTCTGAAACTCTCTCCCTAAGGACATCAGGCAGGCCCCGTCGCTAGCGATCTTTAGGAGGAGTTTGAAAATGTGATTGTTCCAGTGTGCCTTCCCAGAATAGGAAATTCCTAGCATTATGTCCCAACTCACTTTATCAGAGATCTAGGATATCTGCATGCCCATCCCCCTCCAAACACTCCACCTGGTCATGCCCAGCACTTTTAATTTTAATTATTACATTTGGCCTTGCCATTGTTTTTAATTGTGTCATTGTGTGTTGTCAATGCTATTGCTTTGTTTTCTGAGTTATTTTGCTGTTTGTTGTTGCTGTTGTTTTTACTATTGTATTTGGGCTCTTGTAAGCTGCATCGAGTCCTTCGGGAGATGGTAGCGGGGTACAAATAAAGGTTTATTATTATTATTATTAAATGTAAGATACTCCACTTAGGCAGAAAAAATGAAATGGAAAGATAGAGAATGGTGGTGCTTGGCTCAACAACAGTCCATGTGAAAAAGATCTTGGGAGTCTTTGTGGACAACAGGTTGAACAAAAGCCAACAGTGTGATGCAGCAACTAAAAAAGCCAATAGGATTTTGAGTTGCATCAAAAGGAGCACAGTGTCTAGATCCAGGGGAATCATGGTGCCTCTCTCTATTCTGCTTTGATTAGACCTCATCTGGAATAACACTGTGTCTAGTTCTGGGCACCACAGTTCAAAAGAGATATTGAGAAGCTGGGACGGGTCTAGAGGACGGCAACTAAAACGATCAAAGGTCTGGAGAACATAAATCCCTATGAGGAGCGTCTTAAAGAGCCGAGTCTGTTTAGCCTGCAGAATAGAAGGTTTAGAGGAGACATGATAGCCATTTATAAATATGTGAAAGAGGTGTCATAAGGAAGAGGGAGCAGATTTGTTTTCTGCTGCCCTGGAAAATAGGACTCAATGGAGCAGCCTGTTCAATTGACAGGAAAAGGACACGAGGAAGAACTTCCTGACTATAAGAGCTGTTCTCTGCCTCAAAGCGTAGTGGAAACTCCATCCTTGGAGGCTTTTAAGCAAAGGCTGGATGGCCATCTGTTAGGGGTGCTTTGATTGTGCTTTTCCTGCATGGCTGGGGCTTGGACTAGATGTGGTCTCTTCCAACTCTATTCTGTGATTCTAACTCTCACACACTGGATCAAGGCAGGTAAGGGGGGGGGGGTGTCAAACCACATTAGCATTACACTTGGTTGGCCAGAGAGAGAGCCAAATCCTTGGTTTAAAGGCCGGTCAATTCCCTTTCATAGCCTTGGGGAGGAAGAAAAAAGGGCAAGGGGAGCCTCCCAAACGCAATCGCTGGCTGTTCTTAATGCCCCTTTCCTTGTACCAGGCTGGGACGCCTGGCTCTAGTCTGAAAGGGAGTTTGGGGACAACCAAAGCCACAAAAGACAGCACCGCCATGAAAGACTCACCCTCTTCTAGGCAGCTTCAGCCTCCTCTTGTTCCGCTGCCTCTGCGCATGCGTCGGAAGCCGGCGGCCACCAAACACACTTCCGGTAGCCGAGTGCAGTTATTCTATTCCTGCGAGAGGCGTTGGCGGCCGGCAGGGGGCGCCCTCGAACTCTGAAATCAACAACCTGGCAGAGAGGATGCTTTTCTATGGCATTTGTTCCAGGTGCAGAGTTGATGCTTTCTTTCTTTCCCTCCCTCTTTCTCTCCTTTCTACATTCTCTACCTCTTTCCTTCCTTCTCTCTTTGCTTCCTTCTCCCTTTCTTTCTTTCTTTCTTTCTTTCTTTCTTTCTTTCTTTCTTCTTTCTTTCTTTCTTTCTTTCTCTCTTTGCTTCCTTCTCCCTTTCTTTCCCTCTTTCTCTCCTTTCTTCCTTCTCTTTCTCTTTCCTTCCTTCTCTCCTTCTCTTCTCTCCTTCCTCTTTCTTTTCTTTCCTCTTTCTTCCCTCCCTCTTTCTCTCCTTTCTTCCTTCGATACCTCTTTCCTTCCTTCTCTTTGCTTCCATGCTTCCTTTCTCTCCTTTCTTTCTTTCTTTCTTTCTTTCTTTCTTTCTTTCTTTCTTTCTATCCCTCCCTCTTTCTCTCCTTTCTTCCTTCGATACCTCTTTCCTTCCTTCTCTTTGCTTCCATGCTTCCTTTCTCTCCTTTCTTTCTTTCTTTCTTTCTTTCTTTCTTTCTTTCTATCCCTCCCTCTTTCTCTCCTTTCTTCCTTCGATACCTCTTTCCTTCCTTCTCTTTGCTTCCATGCTTCCTTTCTCTCCTTTCTTTCTTTCTTTCTTTCTTTCTTTCTTTCTTTCTATCCCTCCCTCTTTCTCTCCTTTCTTCCTTCGATACCTCTTTCCTTCCTTCTCTTTGCTTCCATGCTTCCTTTCTCTCCTTTCTTTCTTTCTTTCTTTCTTTCTTTCTTTCTTTCTATCCCTCCCTCTTTCTCTCCTTTCTTCCTTCGATACCTCTTTCCTTCCTTCTCTTTGCTTCCATGCTTCATTTCTCTCCTTTCTTTCTTTCTTTCTTTCTTTCTTTCTATCCCTCCCTCTTTCTCTCCTTTCTTCCTTCGATACCTCTTTCCTTCCTTCTCTTTGCTTTCATGCTTCCTTCTCCCTTTCTTTCTTTCTTTCTTTCCCTCCCTTCTTTTCCTTCTCTTTCCTTTTCTCTTTCTTTCCTTCCTTCTCTACTTTCTTTCTTTCTTCTTTCCTTCCTTCCTTCCTTCCTTCCTTCCTTCCTTCCTTCCTTCCTTCCTTTCTCTCCTTCCTTTCTCTCCTTTCTTTCTTTCTTTCTTTCTTTCTTTCTTTCTTTCTTTCTTTCTATCCCTCCCTCTTTCTCTCCTTTCTTCCTTCGATACCTCTTTCCTTCCTTCTCTTTTGCTTTCATGCTTCCTTCTCTCCTTTCTTTCTTTCTTTCTTTCTTCTTTCTTTCTTTCTTTCTTTCCTCCCTCTTTCTTTCTTCCTTCCTCTCTTCTCTTCTCTTCTTTTCTTCTCTCCTTTCTTTCTTTATTTCTTTCCTCCCTCTTCTTCCTTTCTTCTCTCTCTTTCCTTCCTTCTCTCTTTCCTTCCTTCTCCCTTTCTTTCCCCTTTCTTCCTTCTCTACCTTTCCTTCCTTCTTTCTCTCTTTGCTTCAATGCTTCCTTCTCCCTTTCCTTCTTCTTTCTTTCCCTCTTTCTTTTCCTTCTCTTCTCTCTTTTTCTTCTTCCTTTCCTTCCTTCTCTTATTTCTCCTCTCCTTCTCTACCTCTTTCCTTCCTTCTCTCTTTGCTTCCATACTTCCTTCTCCCTTTCCTTCTTTCTTTCCCTCCCTCTTTCTTTTCTTTCTTTCTTTTCTTCCCTTCCCTCACTCTTTCCTTCCTTCCCCCTTTTTCTTTCCCTCCCTCTTTCTCTCCTTTCTTCCTTCTCTACCTCTTTTCTTCCTTCTCTCTTTGCTTCCATGCTTCCTTCTCCCTTTCCTTCTCTCTTTCTCTCCCTCTTTCTTTTCCTTCCTTCTTTCTTTCTTTCTTCTTTCCTTCCCTCCTTCTTCTCTCTTTTCTTCCTTCCTTCTCTACCTCTTTCCTTCCTTCTCTTTGCTTCCATACTTCCTTCTCCCTTTCTTTCTTTCTTTCTTTCCCTCCCTCTTTCTCTTTCTTCTCTCTCTTTCCTTCCTTCTCTTTCCTTCTTTCTTTCCCTCCCTCTTTCTCTCCTTTCTTCCTTCTCTACCTCTTTCCTTCCTTCTCTCTTTGCTTCCATGCTTCCTTCTCCCTTTCCTTCTTTCTTTCCCTCCCTTTCTCTCCTTTCTTCCTATCTCTTTCCTTCCTTCCCCCTTTTTATTTCTCTTCTGCTCTCTTTTCTTCCTTCTCTCTTTCCTTCCCTCCCTCTTTCTCTACATCTTCCCCCTTCCTTCACTCCCTTTCCTTCCTTCTTTCCCTTTTTTCTTTTCTTCTCTCCTTCCTTCCTTCTCTAACTTTCCTTCCTTCCCCCTTTTTCTTTCCTTCCCTCTTTCTCTCCTTTCTTCCTTCTCTACCTCTTTCCTTCCTTCTCTCTTTGCTTCCTTCCTTCCTTCCTTCCTTTCTTTCTTTCCTTTTCTCCCCTTCCCTCCCTCTTTCTTCCTTTTTTCTGTATTGTCATTTAGCTTTTCGTCATTTAGCTTTTTGGGGCTTTTTAAGTCCCTTCTGCTGTGTTTTTCAGTGTTTTTATGAGTGAAGGACATACATTTGGCTTGTAAGGTGTCCCAGACCGGGACATGGAACCGAGACAGTCTTGGTCGCCTTAGTGGATGATCTGCGCCGGGAGCTCGACAGGGGGAGTGTGTCCCTGTTGGTGCTGCTGGACCTCTCAGCGACCTTCGATACCATCGACCACGGTATCCTTCTGGAGCGCCTTGCAGAGATGGGTCTCGGGGGCACTGTTTTACAGTGGCTCCAGTCATTCCTGGAGGGTCGCTCCCAGAAGGTGTTATTGGGAGACACCTGTTCAACCCCACAACCCTTGTCGTGTGGGGTTCCTCAGGGCTCAATACTGTCCCCCATGCTGTTTAATATCTACATGAAGCCGCTGGGTGAGATCATCCGGAGTTTCGGGGTACGGTGTCATCTGTACGCAGATGATGTCCAACTCTGTCACTCCTTTCCACCTGCTACTAAGGAGGCTGTCGAGGTCCTGAACCGGTGCCTGGCCGCTGTAACGGTCTGGATGAGGGCGAACAAATTGAAATTGAATCCAGACAAGACAGAGGTACTCCTGGTCAGTCGCAAGGCCGAACAGGGTATAGGGTTACAGCTTGTGCTGGATGGGGCCGCACTCCCCTTGAAGGCGCAGGTTCGCAGCTTGGGTGTGATCATGGATTCATCGCTGAGCCTGGAGCCCCAGGTCTCGGCGGTGACCAGGGGAGCATTTGCACAGCTTAGGCTCGTGCGCCAGCTGCGCCTGTACCTTGGGAAGTCTGACTTGGCCACGGTAGTCCACGCTCTGGTTACATCCCGCTTAGACTACTGCAACGCTCTCTACGTGGGGTTGCCTTTGAAGACGGCCCGGAAGCTCCAACTGGTCCGTGCGGCAGCCATGATACTAACAGGAGCGGGACGCAGGGAGCATACAACTCTCCTGCTGTACCAGCTCCACTGGCTGCCGATCTGCTACCGGGCTCAATTCAAGGTGCTGGCATTGGCCTATAAAGCCCTAAACGGTTCCGGCCCAAGATACCTAACTGACCGCCTCTTGGCCTATGAGCCCACGAGGACTTTGAGATCTTCCGGGGAGGCCCTGCTCTTGATCCCGCCTGCGTCACAGACACGGCTGGCGGGGACGAGATATAGGGCCTTCTCGGTGGTGGCTCCTCGGCTGTGGAACACCCTTCCCGTGGACATCAGGCTAACCCCCTTCCTGTTGATATTCCGCAGGAAGTTAAAGACCTGGCTATTTAAGAAGGCATTTGACCAAGAAGTGCAATGATTGGTAATTTGGCCATAGGAACGGAACAACGGAAATGATATCGGATTGTGGGTTGACGATGAGACGATTTGGAATGTAGTACGAATTTTGTAGTAATGATGATGTTTTATAAGATGTTTTTCTGATAAGGATGAATTGTGGGCTATTTTGCACTATGTTTTGTAAATTGCACTTGTTTTTTCATGTTGTACACCGCAATGAGTCGCCCTTAAAGGGCTGAGAATTGCGGTATATAAGCAATAAATAAATAAATAAATAAATAAATAAATAATGTCCAAATTTGGTGTCAGTTCCCCCAGTGGTTTTTGACTTCTGTTAATCCCACAAAAAAACATTACATTTTTATTTATATAGACTAGCCGTCCCCTGCCACGCGTTGCTGTGGCCCAGTCTGGTGATCTGGAAAATAAAGTAATGAGAAAGTGTTGGTTTCTAATATATGTAATTTCTTTATGCTTGTAGGTAAATAGTATTTCTTGTTTCTTTGTCAGTGTTGATGTGGAGAGTGTATGGTTTGCCTACTCTGGGATATGCAACATATTGTCCTTCTTTAGGGGTCACTTTCAAATCTATGATACTATATCTCTCTCTGTGTGTGAATCATATATATCTATCTATATCTATGGCTGGATGGCTCTTTGTCAGGAGGGGTCTGATTACATTTTCTTGCCCTGCTGAAGGGAGTTGGACTGGATGGTCTTGAGTATTTTCTGTTGGTCATGGGGGTTCTGTGTGGGAAGTTTGGCCCAATTCTGTCATTAGTGGGATTCAGAATGCTCTTTGATTGTAAGTGAACTATAAATCCCAATAACTACAAATCCCAAATGTCAAGGTCTATTTCCCCCAAACTCCATCTGTGTTCATATTTGGGCGTATTGGTGTGGAAAAATAATCTACATAAAAACCCTTATCGGAATGCTTTGCACTTTCCACAGAACACAAAAAAACTAAAATATCCTGTTATACAGTTAGTTACAAATACAGTCCTGATGTTTGCAAACAAGCGCTTGTCTAACACATGTCTTCATGAGGCAGTTCTACTCTGCCACAACTGTGCTTGGCTGAGTTCACAACTGTGGTAACCTGTAGCTTCCCTGTCACTTCTCTGGCTCTCCTCTCCTGCTAAAGTTTTGTTTCTGAGTTAGACCCACCTTCCACCGCCATAGCTACCTCCTCCACTGCCAGAGCCACCATAACCACCACCACTTCCGCCATATGGGCCAGACCTCCTGCCACCAAAATTTCCTCCTTTCATGGGGCCAAAATTTGAAGACTGGTTGTTGTAACTGCCAAAGTCATTGTAGTTTCCACTGCTGTCACCACCTCCAAAGTTACTTCCGCCGCTGCCGCCACCAAAGCCACTGCCTCCATTATTATAGCCATCATAGCTGCCACTGCTGCCATAACCCCTGCTTCCTCCAGAATATCCAGGGCCACTGCCTCCATAGCCATCATTGCCAAACCCATTATAGCCATCTCCGCTGCCTCCATATTGTCCTCTGCCACCGCCGTCTCCACCACCTCCACTTTGGCTGCCAAACCCACCACGGCCTCCAAAGCTGCTGCCATGACTGAAGTTGTCACTACCACTGAACCTACTACCACGGCCATTGCTAAAGCTGCCAGAGCCTCTTTGGCTTGAAGAGGCACTGGCCATTTCCTGTTTTGACAAAGCTTTTCAGACTTCACAGTTATGCCTGTTACAATATGGTATTTCTGAATGACAATCTTGCCATATGGAATATTTGTGCCGAGGTTGGTCCAGATCCATCATTGTTTGAGTCCACAGTGCTCTCTGGATGTAGGTGAACTACAACTCCCAAAGTCAAGGTTAATGCCCACCAAACCCCTCTAGTGTTTTCTGATGGTCATGGGAGTCCTTTGTGCCACGTTTGGTTCAATTCCATCATTGGTGGAGTTAGAATGCTCTTTGATTGTAGGTGAACTATAAATCCCAGCAACTACAACTCCCAAATGACAAAATAAATTTTTTTTGAGTGAAGGACATATATTGGGTTGTTAGGTGTATGCTGTCCAAATTTGGTGTCCATTGGCCCACTGGTTTTTGAGTTCTGTTAATCCCACAAACGAACATTACATTTTTATTTATATAGATAAAAAGGTGAGTATTAGAATCAAGTAAATACGGTATCTATCTATTTATCTTTGGTTGGAGTTACACTTCAAACGTCCCTGTTCCGACTTACATACAAATTCAACTTAAGAACAAACCTACAGAAACCTACCTTGTCTCTAACTTGGGGACTGCCTGTGCAGGTTGAGTATCCTGTAATGCTTCAAAATCCAAAATTGTCCACTCGGATAGCTGAAATTGCAAAAGGCTTCCTTTCTATGGGTTGATTGTACACACATTGTTTCATTGTTTCAGGGACAAAACAATACAGTATCTATTTATTTATCTTTGTTTGGAGTTATAAATAAAAATGTAATGTTCGTTTGTGGGATTAACAGAACTCAAGAACCACTGGACGAATTGACACCAAATTTGGACAGAAGACACCTAACAACCTAATGTATGTCCTTCACTTAAAAAAATGATTTTGTCTTTTGGGAGTTGTAGTTGCTGGGATTTATAGTTCACCTACAATCAAAGAGCATTCCGAACCCCAACAACAATGGAATTGAATCAAACTTGGCACACAGTTCTCCCATGACCAACAGAAAATACTGGAAAGGTTTGGTGGGCAGTGTCCTTTGGTTTTGGAGTTGTAGTTCACCTACATCCAGAGATCACTGTGGACTCAAACAATGATGGATCTGGACCAAACTCTACACGAAGACTCAATATGTCCAAATGTGAACACTGGTGGAGTTTGGGGAAAATAGAGTCATGACATTTGGGAGTTGTGGTTGCTGGGATTTATAGTTCACCTACAATCACAGAGCATTCTGAACACCACCAACAATAGAATTGGGCCAAACCTCCCACACAGAACCCCCATGTGGGCCACAGCAACGCGTGGCAGGGGAAGGCTAGTATTGTATAAAATGGCCTTCAGGTGATATGCCTTAGGTGTGTATGAAACACAAAAGAATTCCCTTTTTAGAATTCCCATCTCCAAGCTATTTCATTGTGTATGTATCCAAAATCCCAAGGGTTTCAGATAAGAGCTACTCAACCTGAACTGCAGAAGAGAAAGCTTGAGTTGGGAGAAAGGTCAAAGCGTTGCTTGCTCCTCCAAGATACATCATTACCTCCATACTTACCTGGCAGTACCTTGTGTTGCCCTAAAGGTTCGACTTCAGTTTGGCTTTCCTTTTCATTGGAAGAGTCATCCAATGAAGAAAGATCTGTTTCTTTCTCATCTTCTCTCACACCACAGACTAGAACAGGTGTGTATTCATGTGTGTCTATATATGTATCTGCATCATCTATCTATCTATCTATCTATCTATCTATCTATCTATCTATCTATCTATCTATCTATCTATCTGTCCATCTTAAATTAACAATAACTAAGGTTATCCGGATGGAGCCCCCGGTGGCGCAGTGGGTTAAAGCACTGAGCTGCTGAGCTTGTTGATTGAAAGGTCACAGGTTCAATTCCGGGGAGCGGCGTAAGCTTCTGCTGTCAGCCCTAGCTTCTGCCAACCTAGCAGTTCGAAAACATGCAAATGTGAGTAGATCAATAGGTACCACTCCGGCGGGAAGGTAACGGCGCTCCATGCAGTCATGCTGGCCACATGACCTTGGAGGTGTCTACAGGACAACGCTGGCTCTTCGGCTTAGAAATGGAGATGAGCACCACACCCCAGAGTCAGACATGACTGGACTTAATGTCAGGGGACTACCTTTACCTTTTTAAGGTTATCCGGACAAGTCTAGCTTGACATTTTTTCTCTGGTCATCCCAGATCCGCCACGGTAATTATTTTTATTTTATTTTATTTCGAACATTTTTACCCCGCCCTTCTCAACCCTTGGGGGCACTCAGGGCAGCTTACAATTGGCAAAAATTCAATGCCGCTTCATAAAATACAATAGCAAAAAATAACAATGAAAACCATGAACATTAAAATAAAAATTAAACAGTATACTTACGATCCATTTAGCTATTGCCAGTCTGGTGGCTATTTATCTAGCCATATACTAATGATTACTCCACTTCACTTACCCAAATCCACTTCCAAGCCATAGTCAAATATTATCCATTGTCCTTTAACCTGACTGCCCGAAGAACTGGTCCCACAACCACAATTTTATCTTCTTTCTGAAGGTGAGGAGGGATGACGATGATCTAATTTCCCCGGGAAGCTTATTCCACAGGCGAGGGGCTACCACCGAGAAGGCCCTGTCTCTCATCCCCGCCAAACGTGTTTGAGACAACAGCGGGGCCGAGAGCAGGGCCTCCCCAGAGCATCTTAAGCTTCAAGGTGGGACGTAGAAGAAGATACATTTGGACAGGTACGCTGGACCGGAGCTGTATAGGGTTTTATAGGTCAAAACCAGCACTTTGAATTGTGCTCGGAATTGGATCGGCAGCCAGTGGAGATGACACAACAGGGGGGTGGTATGCTCCCTGTATGACACTCCAGTGAGTAATCTAGCTGCCGCCCATTGGACTAATTGCAGTTTCCGAACAGTCTTCAAAGGCAACCCCACATAGAGTGCATTGCAGTAATCTATTCGGGATGTGACAAGAGCATGGACCACCGTGGCCAGATCCGACTTCTCAATGTACGGGTGCAGCTGGCACACACGTTTTAACTGTGCAAAAGCTCTCCTGGCCACCGCCGAGACCTGGGGTTCCAGGCTCAGCAATGACTCCATGATCACTCCCAAGCTGCGAACCTGCATCTTCAGGGGGAGTGTAACCCCATCCAACACAGGCTGTAACCCTATGCCCTGTTCGGCCTTACGACTGACCAGTAGGACATCTGTCTTGTCTGGATTCAATTTCAATTTGTAAGAGCCCAACAACAGTCCAGTGACAAAAGCAACTGCCTGCCCAGCTTTGCCTGCCTCAGTTCAGGGGTCTGTGACATCAGAAAGACAGCAGAGAGGAGTGATGTGTCAATCAAGCTCAAAGGGAGAGATTAGTTTTCTACAGGAGCTCAAAGTCTGCTGTGCCCATGGCCTGGGTTGAGCCATCAAGATGGGGAATTGCCAGAACAGCCTTCCCAAAACCCCCAAGCCTGTGAAGCGTGAACTCAAAGGTAACTGGCTCCTGTCCTGCCTGTTAAGCACACATGATAGGCTTTCAGAATGAGAGATCGGCAAAGGGAATATTTTTATACTCTTTCAGATTAAGTGAATGGAGTCTGATAACAAATTGTAAACAGCAGTTATTTTAAAGACATATTGGTGTCATAGAATCATAGGGCCCTACCAGACAGGTCCTTATCCCAGGTTTTCTACTTTAAACTGGATTATATGTGTCCGCACTGTCAGATTATCTGGGATAAACAGAAAACCTGTGATCAGATCGTGGAATCCCAGGTTGCAGCGGTGGCCAGGGGAGCTTTCGCACAATTAAAACTTGTGCGCCAGCTGTGCCCGTACCTTGGGAAGTCTGACTTGGCCACGGTGGTCCACGCTTTGGTTACATCCCATTTAGATTACTGCAATGCTCTCTATGTGGGGCTGCCTCTGAAGACTGCCCGGAAGCTGCAGCTAGTCCAACGTTCGGCAGCCAGATTTCTAACGGGTGCTGGGTACAGGGAGCATACAACCCCTCTGTTACGCCAGCTCCACTGGCTGCCGATTAGCTTCCGAGCACAATTCAATGTGCTGGTTTTGACCTACAAAGCCCTAAACGACTCTGGCCCTGTTTACCTGTCCGAACGGATTCTCCCCTATGAACCATCAAGGTCTTTAAGATCTTCCGGGGGGGGGGGCCTGCTCTCAATCCCACCACTGTCACAATCGCGGTTGGTGGGGACGAGAGACAGGGCCTTCTCGATGGTGGCTCCCTGGCTTTGGAACTCCCTCCCACAGGAGATTAGAACTGCTCCCTCCCTCCTGACGTTCAGGAAGCTAACAAAGACTTGGCTATGGAATGCGGCCTTTGACAACTGAGTCAACTTTGGTCCACATGGAAGGAGAATGAATAACTGTGAATTATGACCAGGAATGCTTTGACGACGTGGCTATATAAGTGTGATGATGACGATGTTGTATTGTAATATGTTTTTAATTGTGTAATGATGATGCATTGTGTGGTTTGTATTTTTGTATATGAACACATGTTGTGAACCGGATCTGAGTCCCTCTTGTAGGTGAGAAGATCGGTATAGAAAACTTTTAAATAAATAAATAGAGTTGGAAGGGATCCCCCCAGGGCCATCCAGTCCAAACCTTTCTTCCATGCCAGAACACCCAATCAAAGTACTCCTAACAGTTGGCCATCCAGCCTCTGTTTAAAAAACTCCAGAGAAAGAGACTCTGAGGCAGGGGTCCTCAACCTTTTTAAACAGAGGGCCAGGTCACAGTCCCTCAAACTGTTGGAGGGCCAGATTATAATTTGAAAAAAACATGAATGAATTTTATGCACACCGCACACATCTTATTTGTCGTGCAAAAAAATACTTTAAAACAATTCAATAATTAAAATGAAGATCAATTTTAACAAATATAAACTTATTAGTATTTCAATGGGAAGTATGGAGCTGCTTTTGGCTGATGAGATAGGGTGGTTGTTGTTGTGTGCTTTCAAGTCATTTCAGACATAGGTTAACCCTGAGCGAGGGCTGGGTAAATGACCTTGGAGGGCTGTATCCGGCCCCCGGGCCTTAGGTTGAGAACCCCTGGTATATACAGTATGTGTGTGTGCTATCTGTCAGAGGAACTTTGTTTGTGTTTTTCCTGCATTGCAGGTGGTTGGAATAGATGGCCAATGTGGTCTCTTCCAACTCTATGATTCTATGATCTATGTCCCCTTTCATGAGGCTCCCTTCCTTTTCCTGCAGAGAAGTTGGCAACAACCATTATCATCTTCACGATTGGAGGCCCTGGTTGCGGCAAGGGGTCCCAGAGTATTCGGATGGCTCAAAAGTACAACTTCACCCACTTGGCTATTGGAGACTTGCTGCGGGAAGAAGCCATCAGGCCCACCAGCAGAGCCAAATCTATCAGGGATATCATGCTGAACGGGGCTCTGGTGCCCTCGGTAAGAAGCCCCCAGAATCTCTTCTCTCTGCAAATGTTCTCTCTGTCAAAATACAGGGCTGCATCCAGGCTTAGGACTTTAGTGCACAAGGCAGGGAAACCGGCATGAATGTTGCACCATCTCCTTTGCTGACAGTCCCTATCACAATGTGTGCGCCCCACTGCTGGTCTGCCTCCTCCTTGTGGTTAACCTGTCCCCCATCAACTCATAAATACTGGGTTGTTGCAGGTTTTTTGGGCTATATGGCCATGTTCTGGAAGCATTCTCTCCGGACGTTTCATCTGCATCTATAGGCATCCTCAGAGGTTGTGAGGCTGACTCACAACCTCTGAGGATGCTTGCCATAGATGCAGGCAAAATCAGGAGAGAATGCTTCTAGAACATGGCCATATAGCCCAAAAAACCTACAACAACCCAGTGATTCTGGCCATGAAAGTATTCAACAATACATTACACTCATAAATAGTTCACAATCCTGCAATAGATTGGTGCGATGGATCCCTTCCGCTTCTGTGCCAGTACAGCAGCAGTAAAGTGACGTCAGAGTGTGGAATTACCCTCCTCCACGGCTTTCTCCACTTCCATCTCATTATTTCTAAACTGTTTATTTTATATTTGATAGTTTTCTTTCATTGCTAAAATTGTGAAACTATTCTTCAAATATTGTCGAAGGGTTTCATGGCTGGAATCACTAGGTTCTTGTGGGGTTTTTTTTGGGCTATATGGCCATGTTCTAGAGGCATTCTCTCCTGACGTTTTGCCTGCATCTATGGCAAGCATCCTCACAACCTCTGAGGATGCTTGCCATAGATGCAGGCGAAACGTCAGGAGAGAATGCCTCTAGAACATGGCCATATAGCCCAAAAAACCCCCACAAGAACCTACTTATTCTTCAAATAAATAGTAATAATAATGGAGCCGCAGAAGTGTGGGAAGTCGGGGTTATAAGGGTATACAGAAGTATGATTGCAGAATGACTGGTTTTCAAATGCGCAGTTGCATGAATATATACTTTTATATGTGTGTTTTAATGTTAAACATACAATTGCATCCTGGTATGTCCCCTCTATCCGTGATAATGTGACTGCCATGGGTTAGCATTTTCATGTGGTAAAGTACTTACTTAGTACTTACTTACTTACTTAGGCAATCCCTCGTTATCCGAGTGGGATAGACTTCCAAGATCAGTGTACTAGTGGTGGGTCCATAGGTGACTGCGGAGCCCTATTCTTGACCTGCATGTTCTCCTGCAGGAGGGCATTGGTTTCCAGGTGGAAGGCGGTCTCGGTCAGGGTTGGCTTGATGCGCCTTCCTCTTGGCATGTTTCTCTCTTTCACCCTCCATTCGTGCCTCTTCAAATTCTGCAGCACTGCTGGTCACAGCTGACTCCAGCTGGAGTGCTCAAGGGCCAGGGCTTCCCAGTTCTCAGTGTCTATGCCAGAGTTTTTAAGGTTGGCTTTGAGCCCATCTTGAAATCTCTTTTCCTGCCCACCAACATCCCATTTTCCGTTCTTGAGTTCGGAGTAGAGCATCTGCTTTGGGAGACGGTGGTTGGTCCAGCGGAGTTGATGGCGGAGGACCATCTCTTCAATGCTGGTGGTCTTTGCTTTTTCCAGCACACTGAAATTTGTCCGCTTATCTTCCCAAGATATTTGCAGGATTTTCTGGAGGCAGTGCTGATGGAATCGTTCCAGGAGTTGCATGTGACGTCTGTAGACAGTCCACGTCTCGTAGGCGTACAGCAGGGTTGGGAGGACAATAGCTTTATAAACAAGCACCTTGGTATCCCTAAGGATGTCCCAGTCCTCAAACACTCCCTGCTTCATTCGGAAAAAAATGCTGCACTTGCAGAGCTCAGGCGGTGTTGTATTTCAGTGTCAATGTTGACTTTTGTGGAGAGGAAATGATCAACATTTCCTAATGTTACACCATGAAGCTGTATTTCTGGCATTGGAGAGGGATTGGCTGGTGACTGCTAGAAGAGCACTTTGGTTTTCTCAATGTTCAATGACAGGCCGAGCTTCTCGTATGCTTCTGCAAAGGTTCACTGGATTGTTATAGGTTTTTTCGGGCTATATGGCCATTCTAGAGGCATTCTCTCCTGACGTTTCGCCTGCATCTATGGCAAGCATCCTCAGAGGTAGTGAGGTCTGTTGGAATTAGGACAATGGGTTTACATATCTGTGGAATGGCTGGGGTGGGGCAAAGAGCTTTTCTCTGCTGGAGCTAGGTGTGAATGTTTCAACTGACCACCTTCATTAGCATTTGAAGGCCTGCCTGAGCCTGGGAAATTCTCTTGCTGAGAGGTGTTAAGATGTATTTAGAGTGGCTTGTAGGTCTTCTTTTGAATGCGCACAATGTTGTCATCAGCATACTGGAGTTCTATAACAGATGTTGTTGTAACCTTGGTTTTGGCTTTCAGTCTGCTGAGGTTAAACAGCTTGCCATCTGTCCGATAGATGATTTCCACTCCGATGGGAAGCTTCCCATCAACAAGATGAAGTATCATAGCGATGTGGTACAGTTCTAAGGGCCTTACAAAGCTGAAGGAGTAGTCAAAGAGTATGCATCCCACCTGAAACCCTGTGGCTGCCTCCTGCAGAATGCTGGGGCTTGTAGTTTAGGGGAGGAGTCTCTATAATGCTGAGCCAGAGGGGTCCTGGATCTCACAAAACTACAAGATCCAGAATTCTGCAGGAAGGAAGGTTTCAGATGGGATGCATCTGGATAATTGTCTTGTGTTGTGTATTGTGTAGATTCAAGGTTAGAGGATTGAGTCTTGATTCTGGGCAGCAATATTGCCCACGATCCACATTCCTGCCAAAGTAGCTGGAAGATAAATCACATACCACTAGGATGGGTTTTCTTTGACTTTTCTGCGACATAACCATGCTTATTGAGAATGCCAACACCTTTCTCTCTACAGGGCTTCATCATAGACCTGCTGATGGATAAACTGCAAAAAGCAGAAAATGTCAAAGGATTCATTATTGAAAGCTTTCCCCGGGAAATCAACCAGGCCAAGCTGTTTGAGGAACTTGTAAGTGATGCTGTTGGGTCAGAGGTGAGGGAGAAGGATGGTTTGGCCTGTGGAGAGCCGGGAAAGATGTATTCCCCATAGGCCCCTACCAGGCAACATGCAATAAGTCACGGCCGAGTTGAAAAATAAATAACTGCAGATAGCTTAGTGAGGTCTTCCCAACTTTATATCCGCGAACGAAGGCCCACGGGCCGGATGTGGCCCTCCAAACTCATGTACCTGGCCTCACCCTAAACTTTAGACTGTGGGTTGCCCTCAGCCTGAAACAACTTGCACACAACAACAGCAACAACAGTCCTGGGTTGTTGTAGGTTTTTCGGGCTGTATGGCCATTTTCTAGAGGCATTCTCTCCTGACGTTTCACCTGCATTTATGGCAAGCATCCTCAGAGGTTTTGAAGTCTGTTGGAACTAGGAAAATGGGTTTATATATCTGTGGCATGACCAGGGTGGGACAAAGAACTCTTGTCTGTTGGAGCTACAATCCTAATTAACTTGACTATCTCATCACCCAAAATCAGGCCCACACTTCCCATTGAAATATTTATTAATTTATTTATTTCCAGTATTTATATTTTGCCCTTCTCACCCCGCAGGGGACTCAGGGTGGATTACAATGTACATATACATGGCAAACATTCAGTGCCATAGACACACAACATATAATCTGTCTGATGTTATAATCTGTTTTAATTGCATTATACTGTTTTGTGATATTTTGCATTGTTGTGTAAACCGCTTTGAGTCGCCTAAGGGCTGAGAAAAGCGGTGTAGAAATAAAGTAAATAAATAAATAATATATATATATATAGAGAGAGAGAGAGACAGACACACAGAGGCTATTTAACATTCCAACTTTTTCATGAGGGTATTCTGGCCACCAGGGGAGCTGTCACTTCACCATCCATTTGTGACACTGATGAAGTACTTCCTCATTCTTTGCATGCTTGCTGGAGATTTTTATGGCATTGTAAATTAGCCTCCCTGCATAAGTGGTACCTACATTTCCTACTTGACAGATGCAACTATCTTTCAGGCTGCAAAGGTCGACAGCAAGCTACACAAATTGGTCAGAAGCTCACTCCGACCTGGGCTGGCTTTGAACTCATGACCTTTTGGTCAGTAGTGATCTTAATGTAGCTGATTCCCAGCCAGCTGCGCCACAGTCCCAATTTTATGTTTATGTTGGTTAAAATTGTTCTTTGTTTTAAATATTGTATTATTCTCTCATGATTTTTTGCATTACAAATAAGATATGTGCAGTGCGCATAGGAATCCATTCATGCTTTTTTTCCAAACTGTCTGGGGGACTGTGAACCAGGTTTCAGCTTTAAAAGTTTGAGGACCCCTGCCTTAAAAGCACCTAGCTAGCTATTAACAGAAGCAGGGCACGGAAATTGAATGCTCTCCCTGCAAACCCAAACTGATAGGAAGGCTGTCCAGGTAGCAAGAACACAACGCTAGCACTAATTCAGCACTGCATCCGAGCTTGAGGGTCCAGCTTGGCAGACCTTTGCATTTGCTCAAATGTAACCAAGGTGTTTGCTTCACATTACAGGCGGGGCGTCCCCCCAACATGGTGATTGTGTTTGACTGCTCCACGGAGACCATGATCCAGCGGCTGCTGATCCGAAGCCAGAGGGGTGAAAGAGTGGATGACCACGAGAGCATCATCCGGCAGCGGCTGGAGACCCACTACACACAGTGTGAGCCTATCCTCGCCCACTACCTCCAGAAGGGCATACTCCGGAACGTAGGTCCTTGCGAAGCTGGCCGGGTCCCTCTTTTCTCCTGTCCCTGATGAACCTAGACAGGGTAGGCCTGCCTATTTTGCAGCAGGGCAGCAAAGCTCAAGCTTGACTCTGCTCTGGATTCATAACCAGGCCGTCCCTTCAGGCAGAGATAGTGTCTCTCCCACTATATCCAGTGAGCTTGTTCCCACAGAGAAATGGTTTGAGGGGCTGATCACATAACCTGGAAAGATGGCTGGATGTGTATATGTCTTTAAGCTATAACCCTTAGATCAGGCATGGGCAAACGTTGGCCCTCCAGGTGTTTTGGACCTTAGATCCACAGGGGATACATTCCCAGACTTTGTGAAGCCAAAGATAATAATGAACACTGATATTTTAAATGGGATGAATGATGGGGATACTGAGAAGAGGTTGTAACTTGTAGAAAAAGGCCTTGAGTGAATCAGTGACACCACAAATAAGTGAAACTGTGTTTCGTGGACATGGGGGTTGTGCCATATTTGTTAACCAATTCATATTGTAAGGTTTTCCTTAGGCAAGGAGTTATTATGGGAAAATCACTCGAGTTATTATGGGAAAAGGTATCTCCGCTGAAGCTTTAGCATCAATCCTTGTTTCCATAACAAGTCAATTTTTACAAAATCCAATCACAGGGACAGAAGTGTGGTGAAATTTTCTGAGCAAGGGCAAATACAGCAAAACAAACACCACAGGAACAAAAAAAGGATAGAGCAGTACACGGCAAAGAATTGGGATGCACACAAACAGTGTATTGCCGGTCATTCTTTCTTTCACTAATAGAAGGAAAGAGGGAAGGAAGGAGAGAAGGAACGAAAGGGAGAGGAGGGAGGGAGGGAGGGAGGGAAGGGAAGGAGAAGGAAGGAAGGAAGGAAGGAAGGAAGGAAGGAAGGAAGGAAGAGAAGGAAGAAGGAGGAGAAGGAAGGAAGAAGAGGAAGGAAAGAGAAGAACTTCAATTACTTTACTTTTTCCTTCATTCCTCCTCCGTTGCTTGCCCTGCAATACGGGGCAATAATACAGCCGTTCCTTCAGATCTAACTGACTCCCTAATGACTACCTGACTACCTTCCTACTATGACTACAACAGGGTATTACTTGCTTACCGTCAGGAGGCAGGAGCGGCAGTAAAGTGCCGGACTTAATGATTACGGAATGCAAGTAATCGACAGCCTATGTATGCATATATTTCCTTCCTTCCTTCCTTCCTTCCTTCCTTCCTTCCTTCCTTCCCTCCTTCCTTCCTTCCTTCTCTTCCTTCCTTCCTTTGGCTGCAATCTGGCTCCCTAATACAGCCCTTCCTTCAGATCTAACCTGACTCCCTAATACCTACCTACCTACCTTCCTACTCTGACTCTAACCTGGCTTCTTTCCTTCCTTCCTTCCTTCCTTCCTTCCTTCCTTCCTTCCT